GTAGGGAATGATCATTCACATGCTATCTTATTAGTCCATAAGATATGCTATCTTATTACTGCTTCAATGAAGGGGCTTAGAACATTTTTACTTGAGTAAAATTGAGGATAAACTTTGCAGACCTGGTCACATTTTTCCATTTCAGTGCACAGCTTTATTGCATGATTCTAATGGGGATATTTTTCACAGGCAGCCTGTTTGAAATAGCAGAGAAATGACAGCTTGTTCATTCTGAACCAAAATTGGACATTTAGCAGATACTTTTGGACTGGTTGAAGAAGTATGTAGCTAACTGCTACTACATTCTGATTAATGCTTTTCCTTCTGTGGATTACATGAAGTTCAAAGTCCCCATCCAGCTCATTCTGAACCAAAATTGGACATTTAGCAGATACTTTTGGACTGATAGTATGTAGCTAACTGCTACTACAATCTGATTAATGCTTTTCCTTCTGTGCATTACATGAAGTTCAAAGTCCCCATCCAGCTCCAGTTCTCTGTGTGTGGCAGGAGTACACACAGACTTTGAGAATTTGGTGAATTGAGAAACTCAGCTCATATATTCCATGAAGTGCAATCTACCTTGTCCACATACTTTATTTCCATGAGATTCATAGTGCTGGTGCACATCTGAATTTGCTGTAAAGGTAGGATGATGTAGCTACTGCCATGGACAGATGTCCTCTCTTGCCTCAAGTCTTGTTCTACGTTTGCTGTTGGTTTTTGCAGCTGTCATACTTCACCTAAACAAATTCAAGGTGCCTTCACTGTGAACAAAGGGGATTTGATCCTTTGTGAACGGTTGTAAACCAACCCAAGCCCTGTGGCAGGCTGAAATCCCCAGAATTATTAATAAATCTGGGATTCTCCACCTTTTTGTTAGCAGATGAATGCCTGGTGTAGTGCTCAGTCACATCATCCAGCTATAAATACTCTTCCAGCTCCACTCACCTGTGTGCAACATCTTGGTGTAGAGAGAGAGAGTAGTTCTGCATGATAAGCACTGAATAGCTGCAAAAGTCCCATTTTGTTGAAAACATTTATATCCTTCAAAATCAAATCAATCCCTAATCAGTTCCACGACCATTTAAACCCTCTCACCACCCAAATCTGAGAGCAATACTACCCTGCTGCTCTTTCTCCATGGAAATCATGAAGTCCTGTCGTAGCCACGCAATCACTTCACACATCCACCTTCCTCTTGCTTTAATCTTTCCTTCCTCACTCCATTCACTCTGAATTTGTTGAATTTCTCCTCTGTGTGTGCTGATAAAGGTGCAAACCAGGGCTCACAGGCCGGCGGTGTGATCGGTGTGCTCCTGGGACTTTCAGTTTCCCAAACTGCCTGCCCTGTAACTGCAACAGAGATGGAACAGAACCAGATGTTTGTGATCCGCAGACTGGAATTTGTCTCTGCAAGGTCAGCTACATCAAATTACTTCTGTATTCGTGAGCATCGTTGCCACATCAGTGGCTATTTTGTATTTAATGGAGTGAAAGATGTGAGTTCATCATTAAATTCACAGTAAAAAAATAAATGCAGCTGTACAAACCCATCCCACATTGCAGTGCGTGCCCAGATTATCATGGTAGCAGTTAAATGCTATTTTTTAATGAGTATCTGTTGCACAGGAGGGCTTTGTGGGTTGCCCATTGATTCACTGAAGCAGCCTGTACCCTGCACAGATCTGCTTTAAGCATCTGCATCTTGTCTTTTGGATGCTAACCAGGTCCCAGGCCTTTTTTTAGCCATATTGTGTCCGTTGACATTTCACCACATGGTTGTAGCCAGGAAATCTTCTTTTGTTCTGATCTGGGTAATTAAATGTGATAAATGTGAACTTTCACCAGTGACCTTTTCTATTGTAGCTTTGCAAAAGCCAGCAGGAGGGTTTTGGCAGGGAAGTTACCAGCTCTCTCTGACTAATATTTCTTACTCAGTGGTTCACTTTATAAACTGGAAAGACAGCTCATAACAAAGATAGTCTCCAAGAAGTCAGTTATAGCTGCATTTGGGTTATGGTGTGTCCAGACAATCCCACATTTCCCATACATTTAAATAAATACCCTTCCAGAAAAGTTGCTTTCTGTGCAGGAGGTTTGGGGGGGAGCTCGTGAAAACTAAAGGCAAGTTCTGAGATTCCTTTCAACTGTGTCTTAACAGGAGAATGTTGAAGGTGCACGATGTGATGCTTGTCGACCAGGATCCTTTTATCTGGACCCTTCTAACCCCAGGGGATGCACCTCTTGCTTTTGTTTTGGGGCAACCAGAGACTGTCACAGCACAAATCATCGTAGAACCAAGGTGTATCCAACAGTTTTTTCCTTTCCTAACAAGATCCTGCATTTATTCCATTCAGGAAATGCCAGATTTCTTCCAAAATCGAAATGACATTTTATTCGTTTCCAAGGTTGAGAAATATTCTGCAAGCAATGATGCAGATTTAGTGCAGCCTCATTGAGATTTAGGTGTAATCTGAAAGTACCTTACAGCAGAATTGGCCCTTTTCGTCTCTTTGGTCACAGATCACTAGAAGGACTGAAGTTGAGCTGCCCTTCTGTTGCTTTCTTTTCTAAAACTAGTTCTTTAAAGTCAACGATCTCCTTCCAGATGCTTTGATAAGCACTTGTCATGTTCCATACCTATATCAGAGATGCATTTTGAGACCTAAGAAATGTGTGACAGATACTAACAGGGATTGTAAAAATTGTCTTGCTGCCCTCTCTGTGAAAAAAGACATGTTGTCAGCTGTGAGAAGAGGAGAAAATAGATTTTTTTAGTAGCATAAATGAACAGGATTGGTGAAGACTGGGCCCTTCTGTTGCTTTCTTTTCTAAAACTAGTTCTTTAAAGTCAACGATCTCCTTCCAGATGCTTTGATAAGCACTTGTCATGTTCCATACCTATATCATAGATGCATTTTGAGACCTAAGAAATGTGTGACAGATACTAACAGGGATTGTAAAAATTGTCTTGCTGCCCTCTCTGTGAAAAAAGACATGTTGTCAGCTGTGAGAAGAGGAGAAAATAGATTTTTAGTAGATTTTTTAATAGATTTCATAAATGAACAGGATTGGTAAAGACTGGGAAAAAGAAAAAAGCAACAGCTGCCCAAAGCATTGAAAGGGAAAGACAAGATAATCAGAGTCCTAGAATGATGGAGGCTTAGGCATAGACTAGATGCAATCAGATTTTGGCACTTTACTGTTGACAAGCAAAGGATGAAAATCTGGCCTCAGTGAAGTCAGCAGCAAATTGCCATTTACTGTAGGAAAATTTCCTCTAGTGATTATTTGTCTTCATCAAAGACATGTCTGTCTCTGGTTTATTGCTCTGGCCAGCCAAGGGCAAGCCACCCCAGCACAGTGATAATTAACAGTATGTGTAATATTTCATGAAACAATCACCATGATGTTAAAATGTGCATTAAAGTGCCAGAATATTAGGCTTGCATTGCCTGCCCCTCCAAAATACCCTGCAGTGTCCCTTCTCTCCCAGTTAACTGCCAGGTCTGCACTCTGTCTCTTGGGTTAGTGTCCTTGGTTTCATTTTGGGATGGACTTAAAGCACCTCCAGATGGTACCCTGGGGTTTGTGTACACAGTTCCTAGTTGCCTCCAGGAGGGTTTTGTCTTCCTGTGAGTAAGGCTAGTGTCCAGTTGGCAAGTGACAAACCAAATTCCTGCATCTCAGGTAGCTTGGGCACATCTGTCCCACTTAGGCTCTCCTTGGAGGTTCTTTCAGCACCCATTGCTGGCCCTGAAGGGATTGAATCCCTAGCTGAGGGAGTTACAGAGGTTAAAATTCTCATTACTTGGTGCTGGTGAAGTTTCATAAAGGATGAGACAAGCTTGTGTTTGCTTGATGTGTTTTCCTTAGTTCGTGGACATGAGGAGCTGGCGCTTGGAGGCAGTGGATGGAGACGTTGCCATCCCAGTGACTCTCAACCCAGTCAGCAACAGCGTGGTGGCTGATGTCCAAGAACTGCCTGCTTCAGTGCAGAGCTTGTACTGGAAAGCACCACCATCCTACCTGGGAGAGAAGGTAAATGACACCTAGCTCTGCTCTCATACCATGTGTTCATTTTTCTCTGCCAGCGTTGTTGATAAAGAGTCTCATTGTCTTTTTATCTGTTTCTCTCTCTTCCTTCACAAGATTCTTACTCTCTTACCTCTTATGCCATTTGACTTCTGAGTACAGTGTTAAAATTACAACCAGTGACACAGAATTAATAACCTTGCTTGGTGCCAGGGAGGTCTCTCTGTGAACAGCATCATCAAGAGCTGGTACCTCCAGCCACTTTTCGGACACCTAGAACATTGCCAGTGTACCCAAGTATCTTTTAGGCTCCCTGAGGTACCTCCAGGGCAGATTTCCAACAGGATAAGAAGGTGATTAGGTGCTCAGTGGCACACAAACCCCCAACCTTTTCCTTCCATTGGGAAGGACAACACCTGGTTTGTTCTTGAGCTGCTTGCAGCTCCTCCTGCCCATGCATGGGAGCAGTCTTCTGCTCCTGGTTCCTACCTGGCAGCATCTCAGCCTGGGGCTCACACTCACCAGGGGGACTTAAACCAAAAGGGCTTTTGTTGTTCCCAGAACAAAACCTGGAGCAGGCAATAACCCTTTTTACACACAGCTATTGAGAACAGGGCTCTGAGGCTTCTGCTGCATGTCACACTGACTGGGCATGCCCTGCCTGGCTTCTATTTACAAAGTCAACACTGTAAATATAAAGGATTCTATTTTTGGACCTGCTTCTGCTGCAGGCTGTGTGTATTTTAGCACAGCTAATACTGCAATAGTGAAAGGTGTGCTCCTCCCAACAATCTTCCAGCTAGTTTTGACCAAAATGACCCATTCTTCATGTTTTTGTAGTCTGAAAATGCCAGGCTTTGGTCTCCTCCCAGTGGCAGCACCTCTTTCAGAAAATGTTTGAGATCACTCTGGACATTTTCAGGGTATAAATACTGTTTTCCATTATCTTAAACCTTTTAATTGGTTCCACTGGAATGTTAATGCTTAGCAGGGTGTATTTGCCTTCCCCTCTCTGTCTTTTTTTTACGAAGCTGAAAGGGAATAAAAAGTGAAACCTGTAGCAAAAACTAACAGGCATGGCAAAATTCAGATTGCAGCAGCCTCATTTTCTGCTCCTTTGTAGTGTAATGTTCTATTTAATAGACCACCCAGTGTTAGAAAATGAATACTGTATATGTAGAATAGAAGGTAGTTTATAACACAAATGTTTTCCCATTTTAAGAAATACATAATTCAACACAGCAGTAAATAAAACCCTGTCATATGGTGCAGTCCTAAAATGTATGTGAAACAGAAAATTGGCTTGAATTTGATTTTTTTTTATATATTTTTGAAAAAAATCTTATTTATAGAGAGCTGTTTTGATGGTGTTGACAAAATATAGCCAATGTTCCTAATGCTGCTTTTGAAAATGCAGTTGGCTACAGGTAATAATGGAACTGTGGACTCATGGCCCAAGGGACAAATGTGGTCCTGAGATGTCTGTGATTTTTCTAGGCTGCTCTTGGAACAAAAGCTGTCTAGGCTGTGCCTTTCCTCTCAATACATTTGGAACTGAGTCACTCATGCAGGACCCAGGGAAGGTCTCAGATGATTCAAACATACCTGCCTAGGTCTTTGTTCAGGCAGCAGGAGATGTTTGGTGGGGCTTGAGGCTGCCTGTAGTCGAGCCAAAGGAAGGGTGGTTTCACCTCAAACTGCAGCAACAGCCCATTTACAATGAGCTGATACCAATAAAAGTCCTGGGAAGGGAAGAACAATGTTCATGTGAACTTGTGACTTCTCTGTGACACAACTGGCATGATCCTAGATATGAAAAAAAAATGACAAAAATGATGGAGTTAACTTTCCAAAGAGCAGGAACTGCCCATAAAGTCATCTCAGATGCACAAATTAACCAAAATAGAAAGTACTTATTTTCCAAGCAACGTGTATTTTCATATTCTGCATAAAGATCAAAGGGTAAATATATTATTGACTGTGCTGGAAGGTGGGGTAAGCTTGAATATGAAGATATATTAATATCAAGCAATAGTGCAGTAAAGTATCTCTGGTCTTGTGCATTTTGTTACAGCTTTCTTCATATGGTGGCTTCCTAAGTTACCAAGTGAAATCTTTTGGCTTGCCCAGTGAGGGCATGGTTCTTCTGGAGAAAACACCTGATATACAACTAACAGTAAGTTTGGAAGTAGAATTTTTTCTCTCAAGCAGTACCAATACCTTTTTTTTTATCTTTTACTTAGCAACAATGGTAAATTTTACTCCTATAATATGCTTAATTTTTATAGCAGCTTGCTATGTGTCTATAAAAGTGATTTTACTGCATTTTGCTCAAAGCAATCAACGCACCCATTGCTGTTGCCAAAGGAACATGTTATTGAGCAGCACTGACTTGAGAGCAAACAGAAAGATAAAACAGGATTCGCTCTACAAAATGCCCCTGTGGAAAAAAATTCATTAATGCCTTGCACCCTTGGCCTCAGCTCTCCAAAACACACCCTGGATCCCATTAATCTCACTTTCTGTGAGGATTTTCTTCAGCATAAAGTTAAGCGTAATTTTGAAGGTTCAGGGGGCTGAAGTAAAAATGTTTTTTAGGTGAAGTGATTTTTGATTTAACCACTTCAGGGCCAAAACAGAAATCTTGTACTGTTTCAAATTCCCAAAGGAGTGGCATTGTTTCATCAGCCCACCAGAAATACTAATTCAGATTCTTAGTGGGAAATTCTCCTGGTGAAGTCCTACAGTGGTATCCAGAGCTTTGTCACACCAGGTCACAAAGGAGAGTGTTTGAAAATGGAAAACCACTTTTTCTCAAAAGTAAGAACTAGTTTCTGTGAAAATTGGTCAGCAATGATTTAGTTCTCTTGGTGTTTTATTTGAAAGCAAGATTGTTAATAGGTGCAAGCAGTGAAAACCCTGGGAAAGAAGAAAAAAAACAGTGAAAGCAGTGAAAACTTTGCTGACAAAATGACAGTTTTCCTCCTCTAAAGAAAAGGATTAATGTGCTTCACCAGATTTTATTGCCTCTCAAGGTTTTCCCCAAAAAAGCAGTGAACTGGCAACGTTATATCCTCATTCTCACACAGGGCCATCAAATGACAGTTGTTTATATGGATCCCAACAACCCACTGCCTGACCGCCAGTATTACGGCCGTGTGCAGCTAATTGAGGTAAGAAATTAATGCAGAATCATTAATAATTTGCCTTTTCTTCCTGGTGGCACGTTAAAAATATGCAGGTAGTAGGTGCAGAAATACCAGATACTCAATAGTGTTAAACTTCAACACTGTAGACCTTAAAAAGAAACATTTTTCTCTCTTTTTGCTGCCATGTTGAACTGAGGTTCATGCCACCCGATTTTAGGTAGGCATCCTGGCTAATTTAGCCCTTAGCCATTTGGCCCCTCCAGGGCCAGAGGAGTAATCCTGAGTCAGCCATCAGTGGAAGATGATTCACTGCAGCTCCAGGCTGTGCCTGGTGGGGATGGAATGAACTGTTATTTGTTTGCCTTGGTGTCTAGTTACCTGGTTTAGAATGAGTGCCCAGCATTCAGGCAGGTGAATTTAGCAGCCATTATTCCTGCCTTAAATCTGTGTTCTGATATTCAAACTGGATGACTTATTTCTGTCTCATATACAGGAAAAAAAAGATGTTTCCTCCAGGCAGATTCCATTCTCAGCAGTACTGTGTCTGTCTGCAGCAAGGAAGCTCGTGAAGGCAGCCCTCAGAGACTGGATTTCTAGGGCTTTACTCTTAAAAATAAAAGCATTTTCCTCCCCTTCTATGGCTTGGAGGGCGATACCTCAAAGAAACGTGGATGACTGAGGAGCAGCCTATGTGCTTCTTCACTTCTGATACCTCAGAGCCCTATGGACCTTGAGAAGTGAAGGGTCCACCCCTTCTCATCCTCATC